ATAAACATTAATTCCCTGGTGCCCTCCTCGTCTTCTGACACAGAGCACAGTCCATCTGATAAGCTACTAGCAAATGGCTGGATCCCTCACTGTACCCATTACCCAGGAACATCAATGGCATGTAGGGACAATAATCAGTGCTCCAGACAGACAACAGATGAGGAGTGACAGGTGTGTCTCATCTGAAGTCAAGGCGTAAAGAGAAAGAAAGCCTCATTCTCAACTCCTTGTCTGGTTTTCGCTAAAACAAATCCATCATGTGAGTATTCAGAAAATCAAAGAGGGCATCACCAAAAGTTCAGTTGTGTTTTGTTCTTATATATCCCAGACTGGCCTCAATCTTGCTTTCAGCTGAAGATAACCTTGAACTTCTCACCTCCCCAGTACTGGGATTACAGGCATGTGCCACCATGCATGCTTTCTCAAGTGCTGGGGCTCAAACCTAGGGTTCCAAGCATGTAAGACAAGTACTCTTCCAAAAAGGCTCCAGCCCAAAGCTCAAAATTTTCTCATATATATATGTATCACTTTTAGGATAGATAAAGGGGCTATATTTTTATTCCCATCACTACGGAGGCAGAAGCAGAAGGATGTCTGTGAGTTTGAGGCCAGCTTCATAGCAAAATAACCTCCAGGCCAACAAGTGCTACATGGTAAGTTCTCCTGTGGAAGGGAGGTGGGGAGGAGGGAAGGGAGAAAGCAAGAAAGAGAAAAAAAGAAGAAAAAGAAAGACAGAAAAGGGGGGATTAAACTTTCACAAACCCAAGGCAGGAAAGCCCTATCTGGTGGAAATCAAACCTCTAATATGTTTTTTTTTTTTTAAAGACAGACCATATAATAACAAACACAATTCTAAAAACAGAGCCCTAAGCTGCAGAGGCGACTCAGAATAAAAGTGCTTGCCATGCAAGCTTGACATCCTAAGCTCAATTCCCAGGATATGGGGGACTGTATAGGATAACCAACATCTGGAAGATGTCATCTGACCTCTGTATATGCGCTGTGGTATGTGGGTGTAGACAGACAGACAGACAGACACACAGACACAGACACACACACACACATATAAAATAAATTTACAAAACAAGAGGGGACTCAGTATTACTGACCAAAGTTTAAAAAAATAACTGGAAGCTACAGGTCAATTATCATGAATTATAATTTGCTAAATGCCTGGTCTGCTTCATGTGTACACGCATTAAAGATTAAACTAAAATTCAGTGGCTAATCAGATGTTAACACAGACACATGAAGAACCCACAGAAATCTAGCAATTGAACAAAGCATGGAAAAGGAGATCTTTTCCATTAAGTTCTTAAGACAAACACAACATAATCAGATTCTAGAAAAATAAAGCAAGTGAAGATGTATTGAAAGAGGGAAAGAAAACAAAGAACCAATAAGGTTAAAGTTAGTTATAGATCCCTATTTTCAGAATCAGCCAGATTGCATTTGTTTGGTTTCAATTTGACAAGAGTCTCACTATGTAGGCCATACTGGCCTTGAACTTGCCATCCTCCTACATAAACCTCCTGGTGCTGAGATTACAGGCACTCAACATCCCGTCTAGCCTGTCTGGCATTTTAACTCTTCTGCTGAGAAACTGTAGATTTTTTTTTCAGACTTAAACAGCTACAAGAATCTCTCCCAACTAATCCAAAATTCCCATTGTGGCAGCTGAGATTTAAAACCACCTGCGCCACTAAGTTGCTGGGAGATTTTGGTAAACAGCCCAATGGCTCAGTAAGTTCATTCCCTGCAATGCATACTTGCCAAAATTCATGGGCAAAAGGGGATTGAGTGGCCATGCTTGATGAACTCCTTATTGGTGTAGTTGGCAGGCAGACCTGATATTTAGCACAGGGTTTAATAATGCTGTGCTAACCTGGGCACTTGCATCTTCAGCCGGAACTGAGCTGTGGGCTGGTACTCATGTAATCCTACAAGCCACTATCAGTCTACAATCCTCAAACCTCAGAGAAATCACATGAGACCAAGGAGAAACTCAACAGCCGGAATGTTAATCAGGGACAGAATGCAGACACAAGTTATGCCCTTCCTTATGTTCCTACAGTTGGCAGCCACCCAAAGGCAGCATGGCTGTGACTAGGGTCTGGGTAACAAGGCGTTGCAAATGACTATTTTGCAGACTGAAACGTGAGAGCTGGGGAAAGGAACCAATTTCCCTCCAACTCCGCTACTTCCTGGCCTAAAGTAGCATGGCCCTTGTTACACACTTAAACTGACTCTACTTTCTAGAAAGCCAAAACGGAGTCTTGGAATTCAGAGAGCCTATCAAACACAAGCACATCCACCTCGAAAGCCCTTTTCACTTCAGCTAACATCTCCCTGGCCCTGTTAGTACTTCTAATGTCCATGGTCTGTTGCTACATTAAGGCCTAATTCATCTAATTCACTTGCAAAAAGCATTTCCCGATTCATAATACCTCCCCTTTGCAACAGACACAATCACAGAAAACATTTTAACATCTTTTTCTCCAAGCTGATCTATCACAACCTTGAATAAGATAATGCATACGAAAGTGCCTATGAGTAGTAAAGTGCTAGATAAATGCAAGGTATTAGTAGACCTCCAAACTGTCGTTAGTCAATTGTGTATCCAAGCCATAACACTGGTTGCTACCATCTACTGTTAATTTTTTTTTTTAACTGACTCTCATCAACTTTCAAAAATCCATACTGTCCTGCTTCTAAGGAAGAGCCACACAGAAGGCACTAGAAAATTGGATGCAAAGCCTGGGACCTTAGGTTACAAAGCAGCGATAGGGGACAGAGGGCAAAGGAATACAACCCCCAGGGCACTGCAAGAATGTAGACGCTTGATTCCTATCTCTGCCTCCACCCTATAGCTTCAGGGCATAAATTAAGAAAAAAAAAATCCACACAGGAGGACAAGGAATCAGCCTGTAGTCCCCCAAACGTCTATCTGTCTGTCATCAAGCACATGTGACCCCAAAGGTCACCTAATTTTACTTTACTGGCAGCCATATGGAGCAAAAGGGTGGACCAAGATTCCTCTTTTGCACAGGAGGTCAAAAGCCTTTCAAAGTAGCTCTGTCATATTCCCGTCGGTTATGGGGCAAAGAATCACAGAACAGACTGTCAAAGGCTGGGCCTACAACTCTGTTTCATCTCACAGGCAGAGAAACTGAGGCCCAGAAAGGGGACTTTCCCCCCAAATCCATACTACTAACTAATTTCAGAATTCTTCTAAAAGCTTCTCAACTCTTTCCTTTAAAAATCCCAATTGCTGCCAGGTTTACTGTCATCACACCAATAGCAGCCCCAAGGAGGCGGAATTGAGCCCTTTGTTGTGTGTGGGTGCCAGAGGCATTAAGACCCCTTTGTAGAGGCACCCTCTGACCCTCACCGCCTGCCTTCCTAAAATAGCACCCCTGTCTGTAGAGGTGCACAGGACAGCAGCTCAGAGGCATTGTTTCCTCTTTATTAACAAGAAAACCCCATTCATTTCCAAAGAAACAAGAAAGAGGACTGGTCAAATTTGCACAGAATTTTTAGCTAGGACAACCCCGGACTTACTGTGAATGGCACCCCTCCCCAGAAGCCCTCTCAAAAAAAAAAAAAAAAAAAACACGCTGCCCATGCCATCTCTTTTCCATGCTTTCAGTGACCCAATCAATAATATCCCGTTTATTCCTGAGCTATACACCTTCTTGCAATCTGCAAGACGCCACGGGGCCAAGGTCATTCTCCACATTTTATAGAGCAAGAAACTGAGGCCAAGAATGTGTAAGCAAATGGATTTCTAGGAAAAGAGCTAGCAACTATATGAGCCACAAGTAGTCAGCAAAGTGCTACAGGATGGCCTCACACCCTCTGGCACCCCCAGTTTAGGACTGAGGGCTTGCAACTCCAAAGGACAGTTTGCTTTGCATCTCTGCCACTAATCCATCTTTTGCCTTCAGGCAAGTGACCTCTCTCCTTGAACCCCACAGGGGCTGTAAAGTAAGAATAATAATCTCAACCTCCTGCCCCACTCAGGGTTGTCACAATTCTCCTGAGAATAACCTTCAACAAATATAAAAGCAATAAAGATGCTAATGACAGGCTTCAAAACCACCCCCAGTAAAACACACCAAGTTTTCCAAAGCCTGGAATCTAAAAAGGCCTAATTCATTGCTTTCCCTTTCTGTTCTCCTTCTACCTGAATTTATAGCTTCAGAACATCCCTGAGCAGGCTGAGTAAAGAAAATCTCACTCTTTGGTCCTCACACAGATTATGTGTACCTAGCTGGCAATTTCCCCCTTTCAATCCCATTTGTTTGCCTTAGCATAACTGATGAGTGGAGGTCAGGAAAGCAAAAGAAATCAGCTCTCTGAACACCCCTGAAGCATGGCCATAGGGCAGAGAATCAGAGAAACCGGGTTTGAAAAAAGTAAATACCCTTGATCTCCAACCTAAAGTTCACAAGCCAGCATGGGGCCGAGTTCAGAGAGCTCTTAGGAATTTTTGGGTTGCTCAAGCTTCTCACAACCCAAAAGCAGACCTTGCCCTAGGAACATAAACGCCCAAAGGAAAGAGTCATTAAAAGATACCCCTAAAAGTATTTACCCAATGTACCACGGTGGAGACAAGGAAGCTTGTGTGACCGCCTCCAGGAAATCGTGTAACCAGGCCCAGGGGAAAGGGCTGCATGCGCCACAGATGTGATTCTGAAGGGGCACCTAGCTGGGGCTAGACTTCCCGCTGGGGAAAAGGCCAGGCCCCAGCAGCGCGGGGGAGGGGGGAGGGGCATGGGGCTCAGAGTGCAAGTCCTTTCTATGACTCTTCACCTCCGCCTTAGCTGTAGACTGACCCATTGTGCAACGCTGAAGTTAGCACAAAGGCAGCGGTTGGTTGGAAAATGATTTTAAGGGTCCCACTTCCCACGGGGACAAAGTGTTCTACACTAGTGTCCTGAGCACACAAATTAACTCTTATCACTTAAGGCTGCCCAGGAAAAAGTCAACAGACTCACATGCATCATGGTGACCAGGTGACAAGGGTTGAGCAGGTAGATGACGGTCTTGGTGGCGAACTTAAAGCCCACCTCCACCCCGAAGATCAGGCACAGGGCTACTAAGAGCAGATTCTTGCTCAGGCTCTCCTTGCCTTCCTCTGGCCGCTGGGTCACCTGCTGTGGCTGGCTGCCACGGCCACCCCTACCGTCCTCCGTCTGCCTCAGGATGTGCCGCAGGGCCACCAGGATCTCCAACAGGGCCAGGGTCAGGACCACCACACTTTCCAGCAGCCGCTGCTGCCAAGACAGGAAGGCAGCACAGTCGGGGCCCCCATTGCCTGCAAAACTGGGGTCGACACCCCCATAGAGCCAGTCCAGGAGACTTTGGTAACTATACCGGGACATGATGTAAAGCGGCTCCACTTGACTAAGGTACAGGAAGCAAGAGCGAGATGGAACACGAGACCGAAGGGTTGCCCGGGCGGTGGAACATGTAAGGAGGGCACACCCGCACCCCCCCCCTCTGAACACTGGGGCACCTAGAACAGGGGAGGGAAAGCTACACGCGAGGCCCGGGGTAAAGTGCTGGCTCTAACTGGTCCCCAGGGCTGTCTGGGGAGCCCCCTGCGCTTCTCCAGTGGCCACCAACGAGGCAGGGTTGAAAGGAACCGTTGGCCAATCTAAAAGGAAGGAGAGGAAAAAAAGGTCTCAAAGAGGCAATTGCACGGGAATTAACGAAGCGGGGAGGGGTAACTATCGAGGGAAGAAATGGGGAACGGGAGTAGTGGCCAAGCAAGCAGGGGTCGAGGGAAGTTGGAGGCCAAGAGGGTCAGGGCGGGGACCTAGGGGACCGGGCAATGCCGAGGGAGCCAAGCGGGAGGCAGAGGGGGGTGAGAGAGAGGGGACACCGGAGGCTAGGAGAGGAGCTAGCAGGGCCGGGCAGGCGGGGAGGGCGACGGGGAGGGCAGGGACGCCGGACTCCTCGTCTCACGCACTCCACGAGAGGGGGATGTCTTACTCCTGCAACCGCGTGGCCGTCTCTGCCCCCAGCTAGCAACTTCGCCGCCGACGGGGCCCCCTCTCCAGCCAATTTAGAGCGGTCCCGGTCCAGCCTCCCGCCCTCGGGTACACCCCGAACCCCCAGCTCCACCCCCCCACCCCTCACGCCCGCCCTCCGGGCCAGCGCCACCCTCAGCCCGCGGCCCGCCCGGGACCAGCCCCCTAGGCGCAGGCGGGCGGCCGGAGGAAGCTGAGAGAGAGAGAGAGGGCGGGGAAGCGGGGCCAGCCATGGGGCCGCCACCCTCCGCCCCGCCGCCACATCTTCCCGCTCCTCTTCGTCCGGGCCCCCGGGGACCGGCCGCTGCGTCCCCTTGGGGCTCCACTCACCCGCTGCTCGGCCCCGCCGCCCGGGCTCCACCGATCGCTCCTTCTCCCCGCAGTCCCTGCAGCCCCAGGCGGCACTTGGCTGGGCTCCCCAGGCGGCCGCAGCAGCCGCCGCCACCGCCGCGACTCTGGGCTCCTCCTCCCTGCCTTCCTCCCCCAGCAGCCGCCGCTCGCTTCCTCCGGTTTCCCCTCCCTCTCTCCTCCCCCTCGTCGTCAACTCCCTCCACCTTAGGCCCTCCTCCCGTCCACTTCGCCACCCCCCCCCCGCCCTGCGCGCACACACACGTCCTCAAGCCACCACTGCCCCGCCTTGCCGCCTTTCCTCCACAGCCTGCCCCCACCTCGTCCTCGACTCCCACCTCCTGCCCGGCTTCTTCTCGTCCCCCCCCCTCCACCCCGCTGCCCTCCCGAGGCCCCATCCCCGCCTCTTTCCACCTCCTTCTCCTTGCCTGGTCTTCAGCACTCCATGCGTACACGCGTGCACAGCTTTGCTCCTTCGCCGCGGCGACTGAATTCGCTTCCCCGCCTAAGCCTCGTGGACTAACTCCTCGGGCGACCCGGTCCTCGGGCCACTACTTTGTATACCTGTGCACACACTAGGCACTCAGCTGGCCCTCACTAACTTCTAGGAGTAAGGCTGTGAAACTACTGGACAGGATTTGACTTGTGGAGTCTGCAGGATGTGGTCTTCCCGCTCCCCACCCCCCCTCCCCGCTACTGCCTTGAAATGGGAGATTGATAAAAGACCATAAAAGTACTGTCTCTCACCCTTCTAGTCACAGCTTCGCTTCCTTCTTCAGTAACTAAGTTGGGGGCTTCTCCCTGGACTTCTTCTAACCCAGTTCTGATGTTTTTCTCTCTTCTGCTACACAAACCACCCTGGCTTTCTCTTGCTCTCTCCTCCTCTCTGTTTCTCTCCCTCCCTCCTTTCCTCTCCCTCCCTCCCTTCCTATCTCTCACACACTCCTCCTCTCTCGAACTCGCTCTCTCCCCTCCTCCCCTCTCCTTTCTCTCTCTCTCTCTCTCTCTCTCTCTCTCTCTCTCTCTCTCTCTCTCTCTCTCTCTCTCTCCCACCTTCCCTCTCCCTCCTCTCTCTCCTCTGTGCCTCTCTCTCCCTCCCTCCCTCCCTCTCTTCCTCCCCCTTATCTCTTTGTCTCTCTGTGTGTCTCTAGCTCTCCCCTTCTGTCTCCGTCTCAGTATAACTCTCCCTCCTCTCCCTCTCAGTCTTCCTGTCTTCCACAGCGTGCCTTCAGCCACAGACTAGAAGCTTCTGACCTCTTTCCCTCCTCCCTCCCCAGAAGAGAGCAGCTGCTTCCTAACCCCGCCTTGGAAAGAGCAGCCAGGACTTAGTGAGTGCTAGCTAGTGTCCAGGGCCCCTCTCTACCCTGGCACTTTCTACATAGTGACTGACGTGTGTTGGCTCTTCTTAGGATAAGGAATTAAGGAAAGGACTACTCAGACTGTACCTCATCTTGGTTTAATATTTATTGAAGACTCACATAAGTTAGAAGAATATCCAGAAAAAAAAAAAAAAAAAAACCGCAGTTAGGCACCTTGCCTAGGAAACACTTTCAGATGTTGGCTGCATGCCAGTCTTAAAAATGTAAAATACAGTCGACTGTATTATCAGGCCAATACCCTCCCATCCTTCCCAACCTAACAAATACAGCCAGGCAAGCTTGTCTGACTTCAAGCATTGTCAAGCATCCGCCATAGGCATGACGTTTTCCAAGTGCTAATTAATAAAGAATGGCAGCAAACAAGAAGCAGTTCAGAGGTTCCCTGGCTCTCCTTAGGTGTTTTTGCTAAATCTCAGCAATATGATCAAAGAACAAAGCCAGGGAGCTCCTGGCAGTGGGATATAGCATCTGGAGGCCTCAAGTTCCTATCTTCAAAGAAGAAAGAATGAGGGTAAAACTCTCAGTAATGGCTTCATTAATCCCTCTCATTTCCATGCTGACCTTCAGTAGAGAATTTGGCCTAGCCTCTCCTGTGTGTGCAAAATGACTGTCTTTAATGACTGGAACCAAGCCAACTTCGTGACCTAAGCCACACATTCCTTTCTCTTTTTTTTCTGTGGGTTACACAAAGTGGGTTTTCTTCAATATTTTATTATTTTTTTATTATATGTGCATGAGTGTTTTGCCTGCATGTGTGTCTGGTGCCCATGGCAGACCAGGGTCCTCAAGAATAGCCAGTGCTTTTAACTGCTGAGCCATCTGTTTAGCCCTCCAAATGATTTTGAAGTGTACATTCTGGGCTGGACAGATGGCTTGATGGTTAACAGTATTTGTCATTTTGGAAAAGAACATGGGTTCAATTCCCAGCACCCATGTGGTGACTTACAACCATGTATAACTCCAGTTCCAGAGTATCTGACACCCCCTTCTGACCTCAGGACACCAGGCAAGCAAGTGGTACACAGACATGCATACAGGCAAAACACCCATACATAGAATATAAAAATAAATTAATATTTAAAAATGATTAAAAGATGCACATTCTAACGAATCCAATTTATGCCAGTTCCTTTTGTAGCCTTGAGTAATTTGCTCAACCTTTCATTGCTTCTATTTCTTATCTATTAACTGAAAGACAGTACTATCTAATTCATAGGGCCGTGCACTTTCAATGAGCTGAACTCATTATTTAGTGTTTGAGCCGTAGAAATTATCCACTGAATACTGTTGCTAACAAGCCAAGCATTTGCATGTGCTTTTAAGCGTGTGGACACACACACACACACTCCAATTCCACGCCCTCCCCCAAATCTGCAGAAGCAAACCACCCCCCAAAACCCACAGAAACTCACACTCTTCTCAATCCCGCACCCAGTCCCCAGATCACTCTCCCTCCTGGAAACTTCTATAGCATTTATTGCCTGCACTACTTATTTTATTCTGAATCACACACTGCCTTCCATTGTTCTCTCTGTGAGTCCTGCCTCCTACACCCACCTCTTTGACAGCAAGGCAGGGTCTGAATCCTTTCTACACAAACACACCCCTTAGCACCTAACAAAGTGACACATAGTAAACGTCAAATAAATACAAGAAGACTCTTGTCCCCATAGGCAAGGAGGCAAGCAAGTATTAAACTGAAACGATGGGTGCAATGTTATGAACAACAACAACAAAAATCTTCAAACAAGTGTCTAGGCATCTCTTTGCTGGGAGAGCCTGTTTATGTCCAAACATTGACAAGAAGAAACCAATTTTGCTTTTTTTAAGGGGGCATTTCTTTTTTAATTATTGGACTTGTTTATTATGTGTGAGCACTGGATACTCAAGCACCATGCCATGTGTTTGGAAGTCAGAGGACAACTTGCAGGACTCAGGGCTCTCCTTGTACCACGTGGGTCTTCCCAGGAGTCCAGCTCAGGACTTCATTCTCAGCTGCCAGCCCCTTTACCTGCTGAGACACTTCATGGACTCTTGGGGAATTCTTAGTGGCACACAGTGAAAAGGGAACCTGGAATCCACAGCAGTTCCAGCAATTCAGAGAGAGGCTAGGGTGGGAGCACAGCGGGGTGGAGAGGAGGCAGCAGCCCGTGGAAGGAAGCCATGAGACTAGGCAGTAGTGGCTTGAGGGACTTGTGTGTCTGGTGTCATGTGGACAACAACAGGAGGAGGGCCAAGGATAGAGGGAGTTGGTAGGTATGTTGTGTGTTGGGGGTGGAGGTATTTTGTGTTGTTGTTTGTTTGTTGTTGTTTTGAGACAGTGTCTCCCTGTGTAGCCCTGGCTGTCCCAGAACTCAGAAATCTGCCTGCCTCTGCCTCCAGAATGCTGGCATAAAAGACATGCAAGTCCACCTGGCTTCTTGGGGATGTTTTGGACAACAGTCTCTGAGATACCTGCTGGCCATATAAGGCCATATAATTATATGAATTCCACCTCCCTGTCTTCAGGCCTGTTTGAGCCTTAAGACAGATAGTTGGTCTCCTGGTTTGGTGGCATGAGTCACCTCTCTGCTTGTAGAGACAATCTTCTAAATTCTTTGGGCCAAAGTGCCTTTCCAGTTATGAGCTCAGTTGACCTTCTTGGCACGTACAGGTCAAAGAAATGCCTTTAGGTCACAGGAAATGCCTTCTCTTTTACTAGTGTCTCAAGTTAAACTTGGGCATCTAACTTTCTCTTCCGGTAGGTCACTCTTTGAATCTTCTTCTGCCTTCTATCTACAAAGAAAGCTTGTTTTCTATAGCCATTTCCTCCCAATTGAAACATTTCTGGAGAGAGTGAGACAGGAAGCTAACTAAATTTACAATGCTGGTGAAAACCAAAAAAGTTAGAAGATTCGCAAGACCACTTCCTAGGATTACTCACACAGTAAACCATTTTCTTGGGAAGAGGATACAGCGGGGCAGTTGCCTACCCATCGATAATTCAAGGAGGTCCAGGGATGTGGCTTGAACTGAGTCCTCACTCAAGCTGGGGTGGGCTTTCCACTAACACCTCTGCCTTTCAGTCAGTTACCCAATGGCCCTGTTAAGTAAGCCCAGCTAAACTCGCCAGTTCACTAATCTAGACTTCAATGCAATGTTTTGGTTTAGTTTGGTTTTTGGTCTATCATTAATGCCCTATCTGGAATGAATAGGTAGTTACCCACATCTCCCCCAGGAAGAGGCACACAACAAACCCACAAGTCAAAGGCAAGCAAAAAACAATGCACAATCCTGGTGTTCTGTGAAGTGCTAGCAGGATTAATAAAGTACATGTGTATGGAAGAGGATGAAGGGAGAAGCCTTTGTCTT